CATATTCATACATAATGTATGTAATCATGTCATGTGATTCAACAAAGTGAAGTTAACTCTGAACTTTGGTTAACAAATAGAATTCCTCTGAAACTTCCTCAAACCAATGAGCACCATATTTCCTGCATGCTGTATGCACTCATGTTTTCCAAAACATTTTTTGTACTACTTAGCTGTGTTGTTTTTGAAAAAGTTGTTGTATCTCATTAATGTAAGTCTCTCAAAGCGTTCACTTGACAGTCTGTTCCTTCTGGGTGTAAGCACAAGATTGCCGAGGCTAAAAAGCCTTAGTTACTTAGTAAAGTGTTACACCCAACACTGTGGATGAAGGAGAGAAGCAACGTCGGTAAGACAAGTGTCATTCCAAAGGAAAAAAACTTGTAGAGACTTACTGTTGTGATCACGCTAATGCTAGCTCGGTGTCTCACAGGCTAACCACTCACCTTTCATCCGGAGAGCTGCTGCAATTCCGACACCAGTGTGTGTTGGGCTTTTGTGAAACAGAGCAACGGTGAGCAACATGTTTCTTAGCCGCTCTAAAGCTAATTTTTGTCAGTTCACTGTGAGTTTAAAGTAACCTAGAGGGTAATTTTTAGTGCATTTCCCTCTGACGAATAGGCCTATAGTGTGGAGAAATTAAGCCCACTGCTTTAATGCCTCTGAACTGAACTCACATGTATATTTTGTTGCTTATTTGCACATAGTTCTGAAATTGTTATGGTGTATTGTATTTTGAATGTCAATGGTTACTTACCATAAGTATTGTTTAATTGATGTTTACATGAATAGAGAAATATTTGAGCAACTTAGATGTTTAGTTCTCATATTTGATATACTTGAAAATTGAATGTTGTACAAGAGAACTGTGAGATTTGATAAGATTTAAGATGTTGATGCAATGAATATGAGGTTGATGCAATATTTTGACATTACATTTTAACCTTAAACAGTGCATCTGAAACAGGCTGATTAGAATGTACATTTTATGACCTGGATTATAGGTCAGGTTTTTTGGAGAGGACGGAAAGTCCAAGGACCAGGACGATATTCCGGTTGTGATAGATGGTGAGCCAACCACTTTGAGGACGATCTACCCCAAAGAAGATACACACCCACACACTCATACATTCCAGTTACACTCACAAGGACCTTTGAAGTTGGCTATCACCAGCTTAACTCTAAATTCTTAAAGGGCCTCAACGAGTACTTTTATTTTGTTTGAGTGTGCACACTATTTATTTTATTTTATACTTTATCTGTACAAATTGGACAAATATCTGTTATACCTCGTAACAATATAAGAGTGGCTACTCAAAAGTTAACATTGTGTCCAGGTCATTATTGCTGCTCAATACTTTGGCTCCATATGAATTTGGTGTCTTCTGATTCTGGCCAGGGTCTTATTACGAGCCCAAGTAATTATTGTGCTGTAATTTACCCTTATACCTTAAAGTTGGTTACACATCACTCAGGATATCCACATTCATTGAATTTTATTTTAAATTTTGTAATAATTTTTGCTGTCTCAAAGTTGCTCTTATTTCTTCTTAGATATTAAAATGTTTTAAAAATTTTAATAACAGGCCGATGAACACTGAACATCTTGTTTAAAAAAAAACTTGAAAAAAAAAACTGTGTATGTGTCTGTGCCACACTTGGTCTTTCATTTGCACTTGTTAATTGGTCTTTCATTTAAGAATAGGACACATGATCTGACGAAAACGATCGTCATGATTTTGTCTTTTCAAAATCGCCACCATTTATTATAATAATGATTATAATAAAAATAATAAGAAATAAACTTGAAATGTGGAAAAAAAACATATTAATGAACTAAAATAAGAACTAGACTTTTGAAAAATGTAACTAACTGAAACAATTTTGTGAACTCAGAAAGCTGAAAAAAATTAAATAAACGCAGGAAATATTCTTAGTTTTAGTATATGTTAGTTTGATAAAGATTTTATCACAACTTGCCTAATGAGGCTGTCATAAATCCGTTCATTGAGACTTTGGATACAAGACTGCAAGTCAACTGCTTTCAAGATGTAATGTCTGTACTGATTTTTCAAAATCTTACCTGTCACACAAACTCTTCCAGGTCATCCAATAATAAAACATATATCAAACAAAAAAAACTAAACTGAAACAAGAAAATCCACTTTGGAAACTACCTGAAACTAAACCGAATTAAAAGCAGAAAGTCAGAATGAAATAAATAAAAAATCTAATTAGTAAATACAAAACTTTAATAAGTTGGGTTTTAACATTTCCATTTAGGGAATACTGTATTGTACCAACTTATTGTCATGCGTGAACCATTGTGTGATCAGCTGATAATCAGTCACTTGTCAAACTCTTTCTATCCTATCTGAAAGTACTAAGTTTATATTTCAGTGATATGAATAAAAAGGTAACTGGAAATCTCTCAGCTATCATCACATGTGATGTAACAGTAGATAGCTGCTGAACTGAGATGGTCGTGACTTTTTCAGTGTAAGAACAATGCAATGCCTACACACTGAGGATGGCCCTCTTTGATTTCTTAAGTGTATTTAACACAATTCATCTTCTGCTTGTGAGAGAAAAGCTACAGGAAATGTGTAGGAACTAAACCCTCCACCTACATCCAGAGGCCACCGTCATAAGAAAAAAATGCAGATTTAAGACATTTTAAGTAGACTAATGTTTCAGACCTGAAATCTATGCAAACAGACCAATTCACCCTCTAAAAACAGACCTTTTTGGAGGGTCTCTGTGTAATGGTTTTCAATGGCCTGATTAGTTAGAAAAAATAATTTGGACCTCACTTCATGCATACATTCATATGCTTCATTCATCATGCATACTTCAATATGTAAAGGGAATGTTACGGCTGGGTAGCCGATGAGTTGTGGCGTGGACCCAAAAGCAGATGCACTGGAGGCAGAATTGAATCTAACACAAGGCAAGTCTTCATTTTGGCCAACAATACACATGAAAATAAACAACAACAAAAACAGAACGAGAACTAACAAAACCTAGACTGGAAGAAAATATAACATGAAACCCAAAAATCCTGATAACACTAACCTTTGAGACACAGTGAGATGGGAAATGACTTGACAATGAACAAAGGGAGACAGAGGACTTACAGTTTTTTCTGATTGCTTAAGCACATTTTTTGTAACTATTGGCTAATTTTGCAAAACTCTTCACACAAATAAGAAAACCTGTCACCCAATAATCAAAACATTGTAGTTCTCTTGCAAAAGCAAACACAGCTAGATTAACTCTTCACACCTTCGTAAAAATGGTGTTTCCGTATCAAACAGTACACACAAGCCATCATCTACTAAGCACACAATGCGCCAACTGCACACTGATGGTATGAATACAAAACACATCTGGCTTTTGCTTTCTCTGTGCACAAGGTAGGCTATGTCAGTTTGAGCTCATACTTCTGTCATAGATCCATAAGCATAGAGGGATCCAAACTTCAAGTACTGGTGTTTATTCAAACACATCAAAACAAACACAAGTGTTTATTTCCAAGTATAGGATTATTTGCAATCGCCATAATGACTATATGGGTTACTTGGTCTGCAGTGAACATGCTTCCTCTGCCCCAGCATCTGGTCATCTAGCAATTCTGTAAAGTAACAATTTCAGTATTTTTACATCAATGGTATTGGTGTGTTTCTCATTGGCATATGGCAGTGCTACAAATCTTTGTGCGAAGTGACTGTACTAACCGATTCTCATTTCAAGATGTCCTTATGGTACTTGCTACAGTGTAGCGGCTCGAGTTAGGCTGGACCCGTTGGCCAGCTACCCTCAGGGTCATTCCACGGTTGATTACATGGTCCACTATTGTAGCAGTTTTGTGCTTTTAGTTTTGCAAACTCAGTGAGTGGTTTTGCTATAAGTCTGAATAGTTTTAGAGATTGTGCTACAGGAATCACAGGTAGGGTTTAAGCATTCAGAAAAAACTGTAAGTATACTTGTATAGATAGCACATATATACATCATACTATTTCATTTACAGAACTAAAATTAGTTTGTTGTATAAAGAGAATCTTTGAGCTTGATTCAATGGTTAGGCCTCATGAATACAGCTTCGTGGATGAAGCTGTATTCAATCTAGCAAATAGCAGAAGAAGAGGTTGCAACATGGGTTTTCAATTTTGAGTGGTAGTGTGTAAATGATGAAAACAGTGTGTTAGTTGTGTTTAACTTCTGTAGCCTGTGTGCACCGTTCTGGGTACAAGTGCACCACACTGCTAAATGTGTTTTGTGTTTGAGAATGTGTTTAGAGTTTTGGTAAATGGGAGATTCAGAGTTACAAATGGTGTCCTAACCAGATGAATAATATTTAAGATTTTGGCAACTGTGAGATTGATTTGATGAACGAGTTTTCATAGCTGACAGTTTAGTTTTCACAATGGGATTTAGTGTTTTAGCAATTCAGAAAAACTGTAAAGTCAGTGAGAAAGGGATTCTTCTGCTCACTTGATGACCTCAGTAAACCTTTTGGATAAGTTTTTTTCTCTCACTTCCCAGATTCAGTGTTTTTCAGTACAGCATATTCATTTTTACAATCATGGTTTAAACCCTAAAAAGTAACCCTTTTCAACAGAGCTTTGGCTATTTATACGATTTGAAACTACAGTTGTCCCTTGCTATAACGCGGTTCACCTTTCGCGGCCTCGCTGTTTTGTGGATTTTATTTCAGGACACAGCGCACTGCGTCCTGATTGGCTGTAGACCAATGTCAATCAATCTCGTGCCGTGTCTCCTGTACAGTACAGAATGCTTCCAGCTTGTCAAATTTACATAAATCTTCGATCGCTAGCAGTATGACTCTGAAGTGCTGTACTGTATGTTTGTAACAAACACAATATCGACGAAACGTTTTGCACCGTCAAAGGCACCTGGGGGTGCCTTTTTATTTATTCTAGTCTTGGTGTCTACAAAAAAAAGAAAGAAAAAAGTTATTTACGGCCATTCAAACACCACCAAAGGTTTAATGAGCCAAATATCAATTAATCAGAACTCACATTTATTTCTTTATAATCAGCATTATTATAAATGATACATTAAGTCCCTAAATATGACCCATGCAAGCATTGCTAAACTTAATGTTTTATATACTTGTTACAAATCAAAGAACTGAAAAATATACATAATGTATTTGCATGTTATGAAGGCTTTTGCAAGAGTGACACACAAGAATGCATTTGTAATCATACTTATGAAGAGGCCTGACCATTTTTACACATAATTCAGAAAATAATCACAAGTGTCTTTAATGAATACACAAAGTGATTTGAATGTGGACCCACCACCAAAATCAAATGAGGATTAAACAAGATGACTGTCTGCCTCAGACTATATGACACATCAAATTAGCTGTAACTCTAAGTGCATGGTATGTGTTAATTTTGTGCCCAATTATTATTCTTTATATATTGCACATAAAGAATGTTATCACCCAACCTGACATGATACTTGATTAAAGATAAGCTACCAGCATTTCCATAGTGTGTGCCAGCCAGAATGCGTTTTCATTGTGAAGATGGTTGGTATTGGTTACAGGTGGATCCAGTCAGGTGTCTGTCACATGTCAGAGTATACTGGACCTCAACAGTGCCGCCTTTTTGAAGTGAGCAGCTGATTGTGTTTGTACCTTGAGTCAGGTACTTCACACACGATCCCAGTTGGTCATCAAAGAACACATCCTCGTCCCAGACTTCAATCATCAGAGGCGAGCTTGTTGCCACCTTTTTAAAAAAAAGTCAGACAAAGTTAAACCAAAGTGAAATAAAATTATGTATGTTGTGCCCATTTAAAGTAATGTTTCATTTTATTACAATAATAATTTAAAAGAAAACAAAAACTCCAGAATGGAAAAATAGCATTTCACCAGTGCTTCATTATTATTTGTCATGTTATTAAAATCAAGTCTTTAATATAAAGATATAACAGTGTGATTCTTTTCTTTATCTGAGAAGATAATTATGCAAAATCTTGAAAAAAAAAAAGAGCTGTCCTTGGTTTTACTTGTTGTAGTGGATAAAAGTGAGATAGAAGTGCTTTGTACTGACATTTTCCAGAATGTAATTGGTGGTCCAGGAGGGGGAGTTAGATTCGATCACACTGGTCTGGAATTTTTGCGATTGAAACTGGATCTTAACATATCTGTGAAATGGCAAAATGTGGAAAAAGAACATTACTGTGTTAGGAGGGATATTATACCCCTTATGTCAAACAGAGTGATTTGTGGCCCCAATAAATGATTTGTGACCCTAGGAAGTAATAAAGGAAGTAATAAAACATATGGTACCCATAAAATTATTATATTCATAAAATTTATGATATTCATAAATTTGTGATATTCATCAAAATATGCTAGTTCATAGCTCATTAATTTTCCCCCAAAAATAAATGATTTGATTTTTTTTTAATATCAAATAGCATTCTTCATTTTTAAGCCATTAAATTTTTTTTTTACTCTTTATGCTTAAAAACTGCCATCTGGTGGTGGGTCAGTGCATGTGTGCGCACGCGCGCGCCCCCCGTGCGTGTGTGTCTGTGCGCGCTTGTGCGCGTGCCTGTGTCTGGGCCCGTGCTCGTCTGTGTGTGTGTGTTAAACCAGAGTAAAAGTGCTTAGTTAAACTTGTGCTTTTGTAACGTTCAGTATGGCGGGAGATACAGGCTGCATCCCTCGTTGGAAAACTTTATTTCAATTTATTTGCATTTGTTTAATCCGAACAAGGAAAATGAGAATCCAAGTCTGATTCACAAATGCTGGAGATCCCCCCAAAAAACCACCCCAAGCATAAGCGCACCGCGGCTCCCAGCAAAAACCTCCTGAAAAA